ACAGTATCAAAAGCCTTCCTGAAGTCTAGGAAAACTATATCCACTGCCACCCCTGCATCCAATGATTTAGTGACCTGGTCGTAAAAGGCCACCAGGTTGGTCTGACAGGACCTGCCGCTGATGAACCTGTGCTGGTTGCCCCTGAGCATGCAGTTCCCTGCTGGCCCCTCCTGGATGTGTGCCAGAATAATTTTCTCGAACAGCTTGCTTGTTTTCTTTAGGTGCTTCACAATAGAATAGATTCCTTAAGAACCTGCTTCATGATCTTTCCAGGTATCGAAGTCAGGCTGACTGGCCTGTACTAGTTCAGATCCTCCTTCTCTTTATTAAAGATAGGCACTATGTTTGTCTTTTTCCAATTTTCTAGTACTTTTCCTTGTCTCCATGAGTTGTCAGTGGCTCTGAAATAACCACTTGATCTTCCTCTTACCCCTGACATACAGGAAACTCTCAGTGTTCGCAGGTTCAGCATTCGCTGTTTCAAGTATTCGTGAATGCCAAACCCGCATTTTAAATACACTTTAAACACTTACTGGAGCTCCTCAGGAGCTCTGCACTTGCTGCCCACTGCTGCCGTTGGGCTCCCACCATCGCTGCTGTGTTCCCGCCGTCACCGCTGGAGCCGTGCCCTCCCCGACCCTGAGCCGCTGGGGCCACTGCATTCATGAATGCAGACTGCGTGCATGAACGCAATGCCCTATTCGCAAATTTCACCATCCGCAGGGATCACGGGAACGTATCCCCTGCAAATGGCAAGGCTTACCTGTATTTGTAGAATCCCTTTTTATTGCCTTTTATGTCCCTTGCTGTCACAGGCCAGCTGGGCACTGTGAGTATATCAATTTAGTTGCAGACTGACTGAGCACTGCAACTTTATTAGCCGCTGGGTTATTTTGGTTCGGGATGGAGGAGGTGATGTTGGGAAGGAAAGCAATGACAAGTTTTACTTATAAAAAAGAATAGATTTTACTTATGACAACAAAAGATATAGTTTGCACATATGACAGTTAGTAAAAAGATTAAGCAAATAAACAGACAACATAACAATACAGATTAAAATTAACAGCAATAATAAAACATAAAGAAATTAACCAAGAGTTCCCACTTGGTTAGTTACTTATTGATAGTCCCTCAGTTAGAAGATACACGTCAAGTTGATTCAGCAAAGTCAGATGTCTCTGAACTGGGCTGTCGGAGGGGGGAAGCGGGGGAAGCACCTCAGTCAGGATCTGGTCTTCGCTCTCTGAGGGAGTGAGAGAGATCTGTGTGGGTATGGAACAGCAATGACCCTTCTGTTCTGTCCTTCCCGAGGGTTACTTTGACGTGCGTGTTCTTTTATATCCTGTTTATGCTATTTTTTTGGTTATATAGCTATTCACAGTGTTACTTTATAACCGTTATCCTATGGGGTTAAAAGGTGTTAGAAAACATTACAATAAGTCACTGCCCAAGCTTGGGTTTACCCAATAAGCAGATTACACAACATCACTTTGGAGTCTGAGATTAACGTGTCTCCACCTAAGTTTAACCCCCTATGTTAATTATACCTTGTGATTACATTTGTTAGTTTTTTACTAATATTAAGCAACATTTCATAAATCAGCTATGTCTGTGGCTATAATTTTCAGTTCAGCTTTTTAAAGTTCATGCCATCTGGAGATTAATACAAAAAGCTATATATAAATCTTCTTCCAGACAGACAGGAAACTGCTCCATCAGCCACTTCTACAAATACCTCAAAAAGCAAACTTCTCTGGTTAAAGCTGCCCATTTGACCCTTCTGGTTCTGGCCATCACACCTTGCCATTTGCTTTTCAAACTGTGTGACTTGTCTTCCTAATTTTCTCTCTGGCTGGTCTCTGGTTGCACTTTCCACTCTTTTATTGCATTGGGATAGTTTGTTCCTGTGTTCTTGAAAAAGGCCTCCTTGAAGTACAGCCAGCTCTCCTCGACCCCTTTTCCCCTTAGACTTATCTCTCAGGGGATCCTGCCCACCAGTTTCCTGAGTATACTAAAGGTTGCTTTTTCTGAAGTGCAGTGTCTTTATTTTGCGGCTTTTCCTCTCTTCTCCCCTTAGGATCTGGAACTCATCATTTTGTGGTCACTTACCCATGTTATCTTCCACCTTCACATTTTCAATCAATTTCTCCCTGTTTG